CACGCCTCCGCCCCGCTTCCCCCACTACAGCTGCGTAGTAATTGTAGCGTGTGCAAAGGTCACGTGACATTATTTACTTCTGCGGCTTGTTCGGCTGACAAGAGATGGCACTAGTGGTCTGTGGATCAGAGGCGGGACTAGGTTCTACGACTTCTTGGGGCACACTTTAGGGCAGAAAAGAGGTTTTTTGGCTCCCCATCCCAAAATGCTTCGAATATACAAAAACAAGTTAGATATTCAAAAATCGGAGGACCAAACGGATCGTTTGACGTATCTTGCGCGACTAACAATTGATCGGTCTTCAAACTACTGAACAAAAACGAGGTGATTAGTAGCAAGTGCTGGTGACTGTACATATATGTACCGGGTCCTCCGTTCCGTGCTTCTATCCTCAGGATACTGAAATCCTTCTCCTCCACGCCGCAACCCCCCTCCGGGCTGGACAGGCAACTTTATCTCATGCGGGCTGCTCCCTTGGAGCGGCACCGCTGCTCCCGAGGGAGCGCACCCCGTAGCCGGGTGCAGTGAGTACCTTGGGGCTGGTCGGCCTGTCCTTCGGGATGGGCTCAGCCCCGGTGACTCACTATGGTGCCTGCCCAGACCAATGTCTCCCCCTAATTCCTATCATCCTTCCGGCTCTGAAATGGTCTAATTGGACCGAAAGGGCCTAACCCAACAAAACAAACAAACAAACAAATGTACCGGGTGATCATTTTTGAATGATACAAAAAGAAAGTCGCCACGTGCAAAGATAGGACAAGATATTTTGATTTCACGTGCTGGTTTACATGAGGGACATTTGGACATTTTGTTTTTTATCAACATTGTCCAAGTCCGTCCTAAGGTACGGTAAATATCATCCGTTTTATAGCATACCCTTTTTGGACATCCTAGTGTAACGATGCAATATCTCAGCTGGATGGCTTTGCAACACAACAAATTTTAGTTCATGGCGCATGTGCAAAGGCAATAGCACGGTTATACGGGCTTCCTGGAACCTGCAAAGGATCTTGGAGTGCACGGAGACACTAAGAATAACAAAAATTCCGAAGTGGACATTGTTGATGGAAGTGCGTTCGAGTGCACTGGTTTGGCGGACCCGGGGACGATACGGCCTTCTAGAGAATGCTGTAACCTGTCGTTTGGCCGGCTTTGTATGACTAATTCACGAATCTCCGACACTCTTTTCAACAAAAGTGTGCTTCTCCACACATGTTTTTGGAGAAATAAACAAATAAACAAATAAACATCCGCTCCTGTCATTGAGTTCCCGTGCCCCAAAGCTGGTAAGCCTGCAGCTTGCGAATAAGCGAGCACGACCGCCCGTCTTACAGCCCGGACTTCTCGTGACTGTACTTGAGTGTCTGGCCTCACCTAATGACAGGTGTGGTCAGATGTGAGCCGAAGACAATTGCACATCTAATAGTGGTAGAAGGAGACTTAACCCGGAGCATGGGACGGCGATAATCAGCAGAAAATGGTCAGACAAACCCGGCATCGAGCGGAGCTCAGCTGGTCGGCGGTCCGCGAGGGGAGCATACTTTGGGCACCTCCTCTAAGCTGGCTATTGACATTAACCCGCGCCCTGCTGGGGGGGGGTGTTTGAACACCCCCCCTGTGGTTTTTCGCGAATATCTCAAAAACGGCGGCGCGGAGCGCCGCCGTTTTTGGTACACCTTATCATACATCAATTCTACACATGTTGTGAAAATTTCAGACCAAGGTCATTCAAGGTCAGGTCACCAGGTCACTCGAAGTGACCTCACCTCATAAAAAGTTTCAATGTCTGTCATAGCTACACCGAGTGACCGATCGCTTTGAAACTTTCAGCGATTGCTAAGAGCATTAGCATGTACAAAATGTATATTTCAGAATTTTGATATCGATGACCTAAGGTCAGGTCAATTTTGCGACCTCACCATTATAAGTCAATGGGAGAAAATTGAAATGCGCCTGTTTTGGACGAAAGACATTATAAACATTCCCAAACACTGAATTACAAGTGGTTTAGACACACTGAACATGAAAATGGTGTCTGTGACCCCTGTTTATGCCCTCAGGTCATCTTAGGTCACGAATGGTATCTAACAGTTTTTCGCAAATAACTTTTGATAGAGGCATGCTAGAGCGATGAAAACGCCTTAGATGTGTTCAGCTCGACGATACGGATCGACTGATATGCAACATGACCCTTTCCGGTCAGGTCATGACCTTGACCTGAGGTCAAATTTTCAAGTTGACCTTTCAAGGTCAAATTATAGTTCGTTCGATGCGTCTTGACGAGAGGAACACGATGCCGGTAAAAGTAAGCTCGTACAATGCTTGGGTCAAAAGTTATTGCAGAAAAACTGTTTCCGAAAAAATCGGCTATTTTTGCAGTTTTTGCCCCCTGCAGGCAAAACCGTTGACGTTAGGTCAAATCTGAGAAAATTTCCAGAAAGGGCGTTAATAGGGCTATCGAATGCGCTTTTCCGCGGCGCTGTAGCTCTATTGGTTCCCGAGTTATGCGTTGGCTTCTTGGAAATTTTCGACATTCGACCTGGAAATCGGCGAAAATTTGCCTTCAATGACCTCTGGTGACCTGACCTTTGACCTGACCAAAAAATTGACCGAAGTGATTTCCTCATTATTTTTGACGCTCTTTCGAACGCCGCCTTCCGCGTATCGCTACGTGGCCCAGGAGCCGAGTTAGAAGGGGGGGTGTTCAAACACCCCCCCCAGCAGGGCGTGGAAATCCAGGACCCCCAGCCGGGCGCGGGTTAATGACTGACTGTGTGTTCCAGATAAAATGTCCCACCGTACGTGTTCGATGGGTGTGTTTGGTTTAACTATCCAGCTTAACACATGGCTGATATTAACAAATGTTTTTGTATCATTCAAAAATGATCACCCGGTAAGTGTATAGGGCTGTATAATACAGTTGGCTCAGAGAATTCGGTGTGCAGGTCAGAGAGAGAACCAACGGTCGGCCCGGAACGACCAGACAGAACATGGCGCGGTCGGTTCGGCTCTCTATCTGCATTATCTCTACCTGAGTTTTACACTGCATCAGCAAGACTTCGTGATGGAGGGAGACGCTCACGGACAGGCAGACGCCGCGGAATCGAAGCCCACGGACATTCAGCTGCTGGTGACGGCGATCTCCCAGTAGCTGGAGGCATCTCAGCGCCGTGAGGATCGCGTTGTGGCTCTACTGGAGCAACTGTGCGTTACGAGCAGTCAGAGCGGGCGACACCATCCCACCGATGATCAAAATGACGGCACAGCAGCTCATTCAGCAGTTTCCGGCCGTTCATCGGATGCTGAACCCAGTGACACGGACCATCCCCGCACGAGTGTCGTGGCCGGTGGCGGCGTGCCGCCGCCCTGCCCCGTCCGCGCAGCGACCGGTGCCGCGCCGGGGCGCGGTGACCTTGACCGCGACCTTGCCGCGCCGGCCGGCGCACGGGGGCCCGCGGGCGCCGAGGGGCCGGCCGGTGACCCCGAGAGGTCACGCGCCGGGCCGCGCCTGCCGGCCGCGGGGACGCCCGCCCCGCAGCTCAGCTCATCAGCGTCGCTGAGGGAATTTGAGGTCTGGTGTTCGATGTTTGAAGGTTACAGTCTTCTGGTTGGACTGGACAGCATGCCACCACCTCAGCAGCGTGCAGCACTGTTTGCTCTGCTGGATGATGACTGGTCACGGATCGTCCGGTTCAGCATACCTCTCCACGAAGACGCTTCAATTCAAGATAGCATCACCGGGATGCAGCATTTTCTACGCCGACAGCGGAATGTCATTCTGGATCGGCGAGACTTTGACTCCAGAGTTCAGCAGCCGGGAGAATCGTTCGACGATTTCTTCTGCTCACTGAAAGAAATCGCCGCGCTCTGCGATTTCTGCGCAGCCTGCGTCGACGAACGTCTGCGAGATCGACTCGTCGTGGGAGTCCGCAGCGAAGAAGCTCGACGGCGACTGCTCGAAACGGCTGATCTCACACTACAGTCAGCCGCCGACATCTGCCGAGCTGCAGAGAATGCAGCCAACAGCAGATCAGCCATCGCTGGCACACCCTCCTGTCTCCAGAAGATGTCTGAGCATTGGAGACGGCGTCAGGGCGGCCGTGGTGGGAGAGCGAGCTCAGTGACCCGACCTCAGGGTGCAGCCGCTCCCACCAACCGCACCGGCAGCCGAGATCGGTGCTCGCGCTGTGGTGCCGCCGCCCATCGAGAGGGCCAGCAGTGCCCCGCCTCTGGACGCACCTGTTTTAAGTGTGGAAATAAGGACCACTTCTCATCGATGTGCCGCAGCCGAGGGCGGTCTCAATCAAGACGGCGAGTTTCATCTGTCCGTCTCCGCAAGTCGAACTCCATGCCGGCCAGCAGGTCCCAGCGCCTGCCAGACATCCACGTTCGAGGCGTAGCAGCTCGTTCCTCGCCCAGAGTCCTGCTACAACTGCATCGACAAGATGGCAGCGTAGAAGACACGACGTGGACGCCAGACACTGGAGCCGAGACTTCAGCAATATCTGCCAGATTTGCCAGGAAGATGGGACTCCAGCCGTTGCAGCCTGCAGCCAGCAGACTCGTTGGTGCAGACGGCAAGGAGATGGTCTGCATGGGCACCTGTAGCGTCAAGCTTCGGCTCGGAGAAGTGACCCGTGCGGTCGAAGTTGCAGTCGTGAGACAGCTGAACGGCCCACTTCTGTCATGGCACGACTGCATCTGCCTGGGGATTCTGCCCAGCACGTTCCCGCAGCAGATTTGCGCGGTGGAACGCCAGCCAGCTACGAGGTCAACCGCGTCAGGGCGCTCCAAGGATCGAGAGGAAACACAAGGAGATGAAGCCGCCCAGGAAGACGGCAACCCACCAGGGCCGTCGGCGGCTGAGTCCAGGCAGCCACCCGTCTAGATCCCACGCAGCCCGGCGGCCACATGCCATGGCGTGCCGACTGCTGCTGAGCGGCGCGAACATCTGGAGGAAATGAAGAAGGCTTTCCCCAAAGTCTTCGACTCTTCGAGAGATGTCGGGCGGTGAAATGAAGATCGAGCTGATAGAAGATGCTGTTCCGTTTGCCATCTCTGCGGCTCGGAACATCCCGTTCTGCTGGCGTGAGGAAGTCAAGAAGCAGCTCGATGACCTCCAAGAGAAGGGCATCATAGAGCCGGTCTACCATCCGACTGAATGGTGTCATCCACTGGTTCCAGTCCCCAAGAGGTCGGCGGACGGATCAGTCTCTGGATGCAGACTCACAGTGGACTTCACCAAGCTGAACAAGTTTGTGAAGAGGCCGACACATCCTGTACGAGGGACCCACGACGCCGTTGCATCAATCGAAATCGGCGCTCGCTTCTTCACGAAGATAGACAGCAAAGCCGGCTATCACCAAGTCCCAATAAGACGAGAAGACCAGGACCTGACGACGTTCATGACGCCCTGGGGGCGTTACCGCTACCGACGCGCCGTGATGGGCCTCATCTCCAGCGGCGACGTCTACAACCAGCGTGGAGATCAAGTCCTGGGTGACATCCCACGAACATGCAAGGTGGTGGACGACGTCCTGGCCTGGGACAACGACTACAACGAGCACATCAAGCACGTCTGGAAGATCCTGCAGCGATACAACGACAACGACATCACGTTGAACGGCGACAAGTTCGTCTTCGGCGCCGATCACGTCGAGTTCTGCGGATATGAGATCAGTGCGGACGGCTACAAACCAGACCAGAAAAAGACGAGGGCGATCGCAGAGTTCCCACAGCCGGAGTGCATCACGGACCTTCGGTCGTTCCTGGGTCTCGTACACCAGCTCGGCGCGTTTTCGCCGGAGATCTCTGCAGCCGCTGAGCCTCTTCGATAGCTTCTTCGTCCGAAGAATGCATGGGTCTGGTCTGAAGAGCACACCACCGCCTTCAACAACGTGAAGAAGCGCCTGGTGTCACCACCAGTGTTGGGATTCTTTGATCCAACACGACGAACCGTGCTGGAGACCGACGCCGCCAGACTGAAGGGCCTCGGTTTCTGCCTTCGTCAGCAGGATGATCAGGGCCACTGGAAGCTCATTCAGTGCGGCTCCCGCTTCCTGAGTGAGACGGAGTCTCGCTACGCTACGATTGAAGTGGAGCTGCTGGCGCTGACATGGGCGGCGAAGAAGTGTTCCACCTACCTCAAGGGGATGCAGAGCTTCGAGGTGCTGACGGACCACCGTCCTTTGGCCCCCATCCTCAACAAGAAGTCTGTGCAAGACATCGAGAACCCTCGTCTGCAGCGACTCCGAGAACTGCTGATGCCGTACAACTTCACCGCCACCTGGCGCAAGGGAGCACAGCACCGCGTCCCAGATGCCCTCTCCAGGCATCCTGTGGATCCACCCAGCTCATCTGATGAAGACGTGACGCTGCAAATTGGAAGTCTGGTCACACGGATTGTGGCTGAAGCTGAGGGCGAAGACGGAGGAAGACCCTCACCGTTTGAAGACGCCACACTGACAGCGATACGGGCAGCATCTGAACGCGATCCTGAGCTTCAAGCCCTGAAGGACGTCATCATGAATGGGTTTCCGGACCAGAAGGCTGACACCGACGCTCAGGTCCGCCCGTACTGGTGTGTCAGAGACCAGCTATCTGTTATGACGGTCTCGTCATCTGTGGTCATCGACTCGTCATCCCAAGATCGCTCCGCAAGAACGTGCTGCAGAGCCTGCATGCGTCACACCAGGGCGAAGTCCGCACGAAGACGAGAGCAAGGCAGACAGAGTACTGGCCTGGTATCAACCAGGACGTCACCAACGTCATCAAGACCTGTGCAGCGTGTCGCACACACCAGACAGCACAGCAGAAAGAGCCCATCCTGCAGGAACAGACACCAGCTCGTGTGTTCGAGGCAGCATCAGCCGATTTCTTCCAGTACGCCGGGCATACATACCTGGGCTACGTGGATCGTCTCTCCGGATGGCCGTGTGTGAGTGACATGTCACACCAAGCCACTGCCAAGAATTTCATCACAGCTCTACGCGAGATGTTCAGCTACACCGGCGTTCCAGTCGTCCTCCGAACTGATGGTGGACCACAGTTCACTGCCGGTCTCACCAGACGCTTCCTGGAGAAGTGGGGTGTAAAGCACCAGATCTCGTCACCCCACTACCCGCAAGCGAACGGTCACGCTGAGGCAGCGGTGAAAGCTGTGAAGCGCCTGATAAAGAGGACCACAGCAGACGGACGCCTGGACTGCGATTCGTTCGCAGAAGGCCTGCTCGAGCTTCGGAACGCGCCTCGTTCCGACGGCCGATCAGCTTCTCAAGTTCTCTTCGGGCACCTGCTCCATTCTACTGTTCCTGCCCACCACCGCGCGTTCGACCGGCGCTGGCAGCTGCTCGCCGATGAGTGCGACGCGCGTGCAACAGAAGAGAAGCTGAAAACGGCAGAGAGGTACGACTCTACCGCTAGGTCTCTGCCCAGCCTCCGGATGGGTCAGCAAGCCCTGATACGAGACGCCCACACTGGACTCTGGGACCGGACTGGCGTCATCTGCGGAGTCGACAGCTTCAGGAGCTTCTTCGTTCGGCTCCCGAGCGGCCGGCTGTACTGGAGAAACCGCCGTTTTCTCCGTCCTGTCCGGCCTCTCATCACTGAACAGCGGGCGACGTCACACACGCCGTTGCCAGAGTCTCCAGTACAACAGCAGCGACAGCAGCCGCAAATGCAGGAGCAGTCGCAGCAGAAACGACGGCAGCAGCCACAACAGCCGCCGAACCGGCAGCGGTCGTCGCCACAGCCAGGGCAACAGCACCCTCGTCAAGAGCCGCGGCCACCACCTCTTCAGGAGCGGTCTCGACGGCAGCCTCATCAGCGACAGTCTGCTGGTTCACCCCGACAGCGACAGGAGGATCTGTCCCAGCCGACGTCAGCTGAGGGTCGCTCTATCACCGAGACCAGCCCCGTGACGTCCAAAGCCCCCCGTCGGAGCACCCGCGTGCACTACAGGCCCCAACGTTTGCAAGTACGGTGGGGCACGTGCTCATACTCGTGAGGGGGAGGGGAGATTTCGTGTTTGAGTGATGTGTTTATTGGTGACTGTTCTGAGAAGGTTGTTTTGTTCTTGAGAGGGGAGGTGTTGTGTTAAGGTGTATGGCCGCCGCGCGGGTAGTGTACGGGGCAGCCGCGTCGTTGTGACGTCACACGACGTCACGGACCGAGCGCGAGTAGCCGGCAGGATTCTGGAACTTGCGCGGCGCGAGACGGAGACAGCCTTGTATATATATATGTATATATATATATATATATATATATATATATGTAAGTGTATAGGGCTGTATAATACAGTTGGCTCAGAGAACTCGGTGTGTGCAGGTCAGAGAGAGAACCAGCGGTCGGCCCGGAACGACCAGACAGAACAATGATGGCCCAAAGACAACCGTTAGCACAGAGTGCTACTGCGGTAATATTCTACCAGTACAAAAACTGGATGTCGTAAACCAAATGCCATGAACGGGTTTGTTTTAGAAATCAAATCTGTTGGAAGCCAAAGGTCGCGCCATGTTCAGACATGGAGCTTCTAAAGCATGTTTTTCCCTAAAGGTCGCTATACAGCATTGAATTTCGTCGTACAGTGGAAAAAATAAAAACTGTCAACTGGTCTTAACGGAGTACGGTCAAATGTGATCAAGAGCTCATTGCAACGCTGTTATTTTTTTAAGATGCTTAAGACGCCTTACGAAAGCTAAATTAGGACCCAGAAAGCAAAAAACGTCATAATGGCGTATTGTTCTCAAGAGAGCGAGGTTTAACGCCCTGTGGCCGAGGGAGCGAATGCTATCCGCCGTTGACAGTTTTCTCATCACTGCTGGGGACGCATTGAACATTGGAGTGCTGAAAGTTATTACAATTTATCTTTGATTTATCTTGTGACAGAAAACAAACTTGAAACTTCCATATAAGTGTGGTGTCGTAATGTCACGTGAGGTCGGGTCACAGGACCAGTGCTGCCGCCTGGTGGTGACATGACCCGGGTACGACCGCACTATGTTTTAACTCGGGACCAAAACCGGCCAGGGCTCGTAACTAAGAAACTATATGAGATACAGACGTGTTTTTGTGCTCAAACGAAACGTTGGAGACCAACGATCATTTAAAGTGCAAAATGTGTCGGACCAGATGCTTGTATACTTGTTTATGACGTCACAAGTGTTACGAAACATATCGAAGATATTGTCATATTCTAGCCATGAATGCACGAGCATTTAGGTATATGCAAATTTAGAGTAACCGTAGGTCTGAGCAAGGCTCATCGATGTGGCAAGTCAAGGTTGAGGACATGGCCTTGTTAATTAGCGTTGATGATGTTCGGGGATCCCTCGGTCCCGAACCGCCGCACCGTGTTTTAACTCTGGCCAAAAACTGGCCAGGACGCGAAATATCGACTATTTTTAAACGTTTTCATTTGGTCACTGTCGTGTTCAAAAATGATCAGAGCATCTTTAACCCGCGCGGGGCTGGGGTCTCCAGCCGAACGCGCGGGGCTGGGGGGGGGGGGGTAAATTTTACCCCCCCCCCCTGTTATCTCCCGAACTAATGGTCCGATTTGGAAAATTCAAACGCCAATCGAAAGATCTCATCACGAGCAACTAAAAACATGTACTTAATTTTAAGTTTGAGGTCAAGGTCAAGGTCAGGTCAAGGTCAGGTCAAGGGTACAAATTGCAAGTTCCTACAGTATCGGCCTTGCACCGTAGTTGCCGAAGAATGGAGTCATGGACTGAGACTGATCGCCCAAAACGTGTTCTTAGGCTACCAAGACAATATTCGTTGCATACAATATCATTCAGAGGTCAAGGTCAAGGTCAGGTCAGGTCAGGTCAGGTCAGGTCACCAAAAACAAAATATAGAAAAGGGCATGTGCGACACATGTTTTATGGGTCATTTTACTCATAGAATTCAATAGGCACACTCAATAAGTGATATGGACCACCTCTGGATGAATTTCAGGTCGAGGTCAGGTCAAGGTCAGGTCAAGTGAGGTCAAATTTTGAAGTTGGTTGTTAAGGCTTCAAAAGGTGTCTATCTGATGCAGTTTTTCACGGCCAAACGAATGGTGCTATTTTTGTTTCCGTAAGAGGTCTAGAACTTCCAAAAAAGTCATTTTTCAAAAAATTTGTGTGTCGTGACGTCATAAAATTTTGAATAACTCCCACATTTTTGAACCGATTCTTCTAAAACTTGGTATGTGGGTGCACATAGACCACTTCTCTGACATATATTCCGTTTTTTTCGATACACTCAAAATTTTGGATTTTATAGTTATTTTCCCAAAAAAGTCAGTTTTTTGAAAAAAATTGGGCCAAAATCCAAAATTTTCAAAAAACCGAGATAGCCATTTGATAGACAAAGTAGAATTACGTATATCCTTTTTTGTTACGTCTTGATTCCTTTAAAAATGAAGATGTTAGCGGCGTTTGAACTTTTGCCGTTTTTGAGGCGAAAATGGCGAACATGACGTCACTAAAACGTCAATTTCTCAAAAAAATTTCCGACGGATTTCGCTCCAAATTTCAGAGAACGTGTCAAATTGATGTAAGAAAAGGTACTGAAAGTTTGGCGGCGCTGCGCGCCGCCGTTTTTGAGATATTGCAAATATTCGCGAGGGGGGGTAAAATTTACCCCCCCGCAGCCCCGTGCGGGTTAACGACGGAAACTTTTATTCTCTTTACTTTTGAAAACGTTGAAAATGTACAACAAAGTCAGACAACTCTCAAAAGCTTAACTTCGGCGAACAAACGCAGAAACAGTCGCCTTGCTTCACGTCAACATCTTCGAGCTTTGGATTGACAAAACTATATAATTTGGGTACCAAACGATAGCGCAAACTTTTGGCTTTGTAATGAGTCATAATTTATACAATTATTATGCACATAGGTGTTACATTTATTGATTTCCGTCAGCCCTTACATTGGCACACTTTTTTGAAAAATGTCAATGTTCTTATAGAGCTACAAAAAATTGTACGCTAGTGTACGGTCTCAGACTACCACCACACTGTGGGTCAAGGAGTTGTCTACATGTCCTCAAAATTTCAGCTGCGCCTGAGTGCGCTGGTGTTGGGGGTGAACACTTTTTTGAATGAGTCATGTCTGCTCCTGCTGAGCCATGGGACGGGCCCTAGCGTGCGTTAAGGGAAAATGCTAGTACTCCTCGTTCATTCTCTCGTCTGTTGTGACGAATTGGTGGCCCATGGAAGGTCGCCGACCTGTGTGCGACCTGCCGTACCCTGGGGCGTAATCAGCTGACGGCACGACCCCCCACGACACGTGCCAGTTGCATTTTCATGTGTCGCGAGAAGAAAACAAAGGGTCTCCGGAACTGGAGACCGGACAATGTCGGTGAATGACAGTTGTTCATTCAAAAACTGCTAGCATTCCTATGAAATATACATTTCTTAAATATCAACAGCATTATCGGTGTAATTGATTATGTATAGTACCTGGTCTATAACAGGAACTTTCCACCCCATGGCTAATGCAGCAAATTCATAGATGGGCTGTGGAGCTGTACACTGTAAAAAATGTTAGCACAGTTTGAGTTTTCTGACTCACTTTAATGATGTGTTCAAACAAGCTACCTTGTTAATGAATCCGTATTTATCGAGTAATTTAAACCTTATTGCGAAGCAAAACACGGTTGGTCCAAATCAGGATGAACTAGCTCGGAATCCCGCATGTACAATGACACCTTTCGAGTAATCGCCATGTATTCATACCCGCATTTGGCGGACACTGTGTTCCGAAACACGAATACGATTTTGTGGAAGCATCTTTGCGCACGGTTATACCGTGTTGAATGACACGTTGGCGTGTTTTACCCCTCTGCGTCGAGTTTAAAAAGCAGAATGAGGTTATTTGAGCCGCGATCTTGAGAGATATTAACACTGTGGGTTGTTAACTTACTCGGTTCAGTTTCGCGCCAAATGCAGCGCCGCGTGGGCCTCAGTCGCCATCTTCGTGCGATCCAGGGAGCTCGTGTCTGTGCTGCGTCTGACGTCTTGTTGGTAAGTACAAGCGATGCTTGCTCCAAATTATTCTTAGAAATAACATCAGTGATATTAAATGTCTTTTAGGCGTGGTTGCATAAATATTATCCGTGCAGTGTGGCGTTATGGATGGAAAGGAGGAGCCCTCGGCCCTGATTCTCATTCTGCCACTCCACCACTGGTGGCTATGTGTGCGTTTGTAAAAATGCTATACATGAATAATTTGGACTGTACCTTTTCAACTTTTGCTATGAGTATGTATCTACCAGCTAGTTATGATTAGTCTGCCTGGTTTCTCTCTTCCCCTCTCTCTCTCTCTCTCTCTCTCTCTCTCTCTCTCTCTCACCTAATCTTTCGCTCGCTCGCTCCCCCTTTCTCCCTCTCTCTCCCATTGTGTCTCCCTCCGCTTTTCTTTTTGTCTGTGGAAAACAAGTAGGTAGACATCTGTTTGGCTGCGAACTGACATAATTTATTTACTTCAGATACGGCTCAAGATGAGCAGAATGAAGGTCAATCTTGAAGTCCCAGTCAGAGCTCAAGGCCTGTGAGGCAGGACTTCATTCCTTGATGAATGCGGCTCAACTGCTAACAGGATAAAAAGGTATTGTTCTGGGCTATTTCTGCCGATTTATTATTTCACATATCACAATTAGTGTCTGCATGGGACTCGGTTGTATTTTAGTAGACTGGGGTTTTGCCTTCTATAATTTGAAGCCGATATGAAAATTGAAATCACATGTTTAACGTATTTATTATCATCAAAAGCGTAACCGAAACCCGACAAGAGCCCGGGCGCCCGGGCGCTCTCTACCCCTGCGCTTATGTTTTAGGGCCTTGCCTGCGCTCTCCCTCCCTCTCTCGTCCCGCTCCCGTGGTCAGCTGTCCCGCTGTCCAAGCGAGGCCGTTGCCAATTGCCATGGCGACCGCTGACGGCCTCCTCCGACGGACGGATCCGGACGCCGAAGCTCTTAGCTCAGCCGTCTGTATTTTGATGTGCATTGGCTATTATTGGGTTGATGTTGGACGATAGGTCTATAATAGCCGTTTTCACGACGGCCATCTGGTACACTTTTGGTGCACATTTGGTGTAGATTAGGTGCAGCTTTGGTCAAATAAGGTTCAGTGTGATTCTTAGTTGCTATCAGCTAGGGTTGCACTAAGTGCGTAGATGTCTGCTTTGTCAACTTATCAGACATTAAGGGTAGGGTAGGGTAGTAGGGTAGGGTAGGGTAGGGTAGGGTAGGGTAGGGTAGTAGGGTAGGGTAGGGTAGGGTAGGGTAGGGTAGGGTAGGGTAGGGTAGGGTAGGGTAGGGTAGGGTAGGGGTAGGGTTAGGATAGGGGTAGGGTAGGGATAGGGTTGAGTTCAAAAAGGGCCCAACATACAAAACACTTGAACACCCCGCAACTATCACCATCCCTTGCAGTTCAATTAAAAACAGCTACCCAAATCTACCCAAATAACACAGCTAAAAATACAAGTCAATCACCCAAAGTAATGCACCCGTAACATAACATAAATCAAAACATACAGTTATCGCGTAAACCTGTACCTCTAGTAAATTTATAAAATGAAGATATTGGCTCTAAAAGAGATTAGATGCAGATTTGGTCATATTAGGTGCATTCGCCGGGAAGCCCGTCGTGAAAACGGCTAATGGGTACCTACACACCTTTTTAACCTCAAATTAAAATAAGTCAACTTCAAATTAAAATAGGTCAACTTCAAATTAAAATAGATCAACTTCAAATTAAAACTGTCAACTTCAAATTAAAATAAGTCAACTTCATATTAAAATAAGTAAAGTTCGTTTTAAAACATTGCTACACTAATAGTTATGTTCTTTGAAGCGCATATATTGTGTAAAACCATACACAGTGACAGATTCATTGGCTGATCCAGAAAGGCGGTCTTGGACGCCGCGTGGGGGGGGGGGGGGCATGCCCCAAAAAGTTTCTCCAAATTCCAAAAACTCATCGGATTTTAATTCCCTGCGCACTGCTGTGCAGTTTAAAACAAACTTTTCTTAATAAAAGGTGTTTAGTTTTCGTTTTTTTTTTCTCGAAAAAACGAAAACTTTCGTCAATTTCGGGGACTGCAGGGGGGGGGGGGCATTTGCCCCAAATGCCCCCCTTGGATCCGCCAGTGAACAGATTTGCTGCACCAATATGTCACCGTGTATGGTGTGTATGCAGCCACTGTGAGCTGCACCAATACATACCTACATATGTCACTGTGTATGGGTTTGCATTATATTCGCTTCAAAGAACATAACTACATAGTGTAGCAATGTTTTAATATGAAATTTACTTTTTTAATATGAAGTTGACCTATTTTAATTTGAAGTTGACAGTTTTAATTTGAAATTGATCTATTTTAATTTGAAGTTGACTTATTTTAATTTAAAGTTAACTAATTTTAATTTGAGGTTAAAAAGGTGTAGAGTAGATAGTGAACTTACCGAATCCCCAAGTATATGTAAGTTTAGTACGTTGGCCTTTCGTGTAAGAGTATAATGACAGGGAATGGCCATTTAGAGGTCAAGGGACAGTCACTTCAGTAAAGGGTGCGAGCTTAACCCGCGACCCGTTGGGGAAGGGGGAGGCACCCCTGTTGTTTTACGCTGATAACTCAAAAACGGCCGCGATTTTTAACTCCAGATTCTAGTACTTCTCCGGACATCAATTTCACTAAACTCCTGAAAAATGGGTCCTAGGTCACCTCGGGTCATGAGTTATGGAGGTCAAACTGAGGTCATGTTCGGCCATTTTCCGTCGAAAAAAGTGGTTCACGGAAAAAATCACAAAAATATATTATCATTCTAGAGACTAAAAATTCGCACAGTAGGTACAAAATGCATGGCAAAGGGAACTGCTACCACAAAATTTCCAAAATAGAAATATCAAGATCTTGATATTTCTACACTCAAAACTCCTTCAGGTTTTTTTTTAAATTTAGAGAAGTAAAAACGGAGCATATGTCGGATAGATCCTTATTCCTTATCGGCTTTACACATCCTAAAAATCAACAAAGTGGGTATCTTTAAAACTGCCAGTAATATGTATAGTTATTTGAAAGACTAAAAAAAGCCACTGTTCTTGTGACGTCCTATTTTTTTCAGCACTTGTTAGGTACTGAAAGTAGTCTAGAGTAATGTCTACGATACTTACCCTCTCTTCCTGACTGAATAGGTATAAACGTTTGTCGTCTCTTTTAAATGATAAAAGCCACTTTACGTAATAAAATGTTTGTCATTGTAAACTGGTACAATTTGACCTTGCTTGCCGTCCTGTGATGTCATAGGTCAAAGAAAAATGACGTCGAGACGCGTCGAATAACCTATAAATTGACCTAAAAAGGTCAACTTAAAAATTTGACCTCAGGTCAAGGTCACGGAAAAGGTCATGTTGCATGTCATTCGATTCGTATTGTTAATTTGAACACATTCCTGGTGTTTGCAGACACTGTTTGAGACGTTTCGTGACCTGAGATGACCTCAGAGGCATTAAAGGGGCCACAGGTGCAATTTTCCGGTTCATTGTGTCATGTTCATTTGTGTCCCGATGTTTGAGGGTGTTTTCGGCCAAAAGAAGAGGATTTCAATTTTCTTACATTGACTATAAGTCAATGGAGAGGTCGCAAAATCGACCTGACCTTAGGTCACCGAAATCGAAATTCTGAGATATGCAAATTGTTCATACTGACAAGCTCATGCAATAGCATGAGTTTCAAACTTCTGGGATGTACGAATTTACTTTAGAAATGACTGAATCACAAAGTTTTTAGAGGCATAATCACTTAACTTGACCTGTGACCTGACGTTATGTGACCCGGGGTCAAAAATATTACTCACGATGCGAAATTGATGTATCATAAGCTATACCAAGTTTCGCAGCGCTGCTCGCCGCGTTTTTTACACTCGCAAAAAAACTGGCAGGTGTGGCCAACCCCCACCCGCACCCCCCACCCGTGCGAAGGTTAACCCGCGCCCCGCTGGGGGGGGGCAGAATCTGCCCCCCCTCCCGTTTTTCGCTAATAACTTCTAAACGCGTTGCGCCAGCGACGTGAAACTTTCAGTACCTTATCATACATCAATTTGACACGATCCCTGAAAATTTGAGCGAAATCCGTCGGAAATTTTTTGAGAAATTGACGTTTTAGTGACGTCATGTTCGCCATTTTCGCCTCAAAAACGGCAAAATTTCAAACGCTGCTAAAATCTTCAATTTTAAAGGAATCAAGACGTAACAAAAAAGGTTATACGTGATTCTACTGTGTCTATCAAATGGCTATCTCGGTTTTTTGAAAATTTTGGATTTTGGCCGATTTTTTTTTCAAAAAACTGACTTTTTTGGGAAAATAATTATAAAATCCAAAATTTTGAGGGTATCGAAAAAACCGGAATATATGTCAGAGAAGTGGTCTATGTGCACCTACATACTAATTTTTAGAAGAATCGGTTCAAAAATGTGGGAGTTATTCAAAATTTTATGACGTCACGACACACAAAAATTTTGAAAAATGATTTTTTTGGAAGTTCTAGACCTCGTACGGAAACGAAAATAGCATCATTCGATTCGCCGTGAAAAACTGCATCAGATAGACACCTTTTTAGGCCTAAACAACCAACTTCAAAATTTGACCTCACTTGACCTGACCTTGACCTGACCTTGACCCCAAGTTCATCCAGAGGTGGTCCATATCACTTATTGAGTGTGCCTATTGAATTCTATGAGTAAAATGACCCATAAAACATGTGTCGCACATGCCCTTTTCTATATTTTGTTTTTGGTGACCTGACCTGACCTGACCTGACCTTGACCTTGACCTTTGAATGACATTTTTTGCAACGACTATTGTCTTGGTAGTCTAAAAACACGTTTTGGGCAATCAGTCTCAGTCCATTCTTCGGCAACTACGGTGCAAGGCCGATACTGTAGAAACTTGCATTTTGTACCCTTGACCTGACCTTGACCTGACCTCTGACCTACTTAAGCAAAAAAACTTGGGCTCTTTAGATCCGCCTTGTTGAGAGCTTTCGATTGCCGTTTTCCCCGTCTTTCTACGACCATCGGTTCGGAAGTTAGACAGGGGGGGCAGAATCTGCCCCCCCCCCCCCAGCAGGGCGCGTATGGCTGAATAGCCCAGCGGGGCGCGGGTTAAGGTATGTATCATTATGCTGTTCATTCATGCACTTCGTCATTTATTAACATTAATATTTCTTTCTTATTTCAGACACGGACCAGGGTTGGACGCTTTTTAGAATTTCCTCTCGTGAGGCACAACGACGTGTCCGCGAATGATAGGTCCGCGACGCCGTCCTCCCCCTGCATCCAGAACGCTAGTGTCACGGGTGGAGGGGAGCGAGGCTGCCATCTCCGAAGACAACACGCCTCTGAGTGTGCGCCTCCTAGTTTGTGCGGCAATGTTCCCCGTGTTCAATGAGAAAATTCAATGCCCCAGCGCCCAGCTAGTACTGACGCAAGAGCTCTCCCAAAAGTCGTTCGGAAAGTCGTTAAAAAATCGCTGCGCCGACCGGCTCCACAAGCTGAAGACTGCGCCAGTGAATGCATTTGAAACGGCACCTCTACTCTCCCATCGCCAGGCCCAAAGACGTGTTGTTCATAGGTGTCGTTCACACTACTAGTGTTGCTGATCGCGGAGGACCACTGTCCACTGCTCGTCCGCCGTGGCGTTACTTCTGATGAGGCTCAGAGCGCATGTTTACTGTGAACAACCTGCTGAAATATATAATGAGTAAATTTGTATTCTGAGACTTAATGAACTTGACTAACGAGGATGTGTGTTAAAGCAAAACGAACTGTCATGTTACACGCCTCAATTATTATGTGGAATGAGTTGTATAAATGTATACTTCGTGTCGATTTATTGCGGTTAAAGACGTTACCTCTGTTTAAACGCGGCTGGGCCTGTTACACCCCGTTCGCATCAAAGGAGGTACGCCTTTCATCGCAATGAATAAGTCCACATGAATTATATATTTATATATTCATTAAACATGATCATTGCATCGTGTAATGCAGCTCATTTTGCGTTGATATACATTCTAAAAGGAGGTACTGGACGGGAAGTATATGAGCACGGACCGAGCTACGAAACACGTTACACGTTTATGGCGAGTTTACTAACATCTAATTTCCGGATATGTTAACACAAATAAGTTTATGTAGCCGATAATTATCCGAGCCCAGAAACACCAGTGGTGTTATTGAACACTTAACATCTTTAATGCGAGCTATTTTACACGTTATTCGATACGCTAGAAACATGTTGGCGAGTTATCGAACTCGGTAACACGTCTTTATCGAGTTACGGAACACCACTTTTTGGAAAGTCAAAACTCATACCGAGTTATGTAGCACGGATTTACCGTGTATGAGAAAACACGGTGGCGTGTTATGAGATACGGCTGTACCGAGTCGTTTTTGGCCATATAACACAAAACGTGCTATCATTTTTTACAATGTATGGTCGCTACACATGCTTGCTTGATAGTTTATAAACATATTTTAATTTTTAATACCTGATGGAGCGCAATTAAATATTTATTGTGCCCAGTTTGCGATGGGACTGTGAACTGAAAGGTGACTGTATGAGACCTGCCACAGCCCGCATCGCTGATCACGATGATCGGCTTTTGATCGTCCATCACCTGTTTGCGTTCGGCAAGGTTACCATCGGCCTCTTCAGTCAGTATTAATACGTTCGATGTAGGTGGTATGGCATCATTAGTGCTGTCCACCTTTATGAAAAGGTATCCGTTTGCTGCAGTAAGCGTCAGTTAGTATGGCACTGAAGTGCTTTTACGTGCACGTTGCATGGTACTATTGGTCTCAAGATAAGGGTCCAGGCGACCTGTAGGTTTGATGCGGTGAATACCCCCACCTTCGCCACACTCGCTCGGTGCTACGGAGCTCCGATCTCGCGACCGGTCACCTGTACTTGTAGACTGTGCCGCATGACATAGCAGTCGAGCGGGCCAGCGGAGCTTAGGCGGAAACTAGCGCCGCGTTTGACAGAGAAGGACGCTCACCATTCCGGTGGGAGGGCCGCTCGCCATTTTAACTCCATGTAGCGTCTCGCTGACAATGAAAGACACTACAGGACGACAATATATCGTTCCGCAAAAGTTATGTCCACTACCTATGACAACACTTTCCTGTTCCTAATCGTGTCCACACCTGAGGGATGACGATTCAGGCTGCACTCCTGCATTGCGCGGTCCTTGGCCGCAGAGCATGAGGTGACGAACGAACCTCGGGTCACGGATCACCGAGCTACGGCCAGTTTCACAGAGATTGTCCATCTGAACGGCTGCGTCGCTAAGTGAATGTCTGAAATTTCTATCAAGGGAGCTGAACCAGACAGTCGGCATGCTCCAGGCCGAAATGACACAGCGTGTCATTGCTGATTGGTTGGGGCATCTGCCTGTTGTTTTTGTTTGCAAGCCTTAATTATAGACGAACTGTCTGCACAGTCCGGTGTTGGTGGGATAAGCATACGGCTGCTGGCAGTGTTGCTGATCGTTCCAGTTTGCCGGCGTGCGCCCACCATTTCAAACGGTACAGAAATCGCATTGAAAAAGGCGACCGGGAAGAGGGGCCAGTAGTTGGCGACAAAATTGGCCAAGCGGCTCGCGCTGAAGCGCTATCACATCTCCAAACAGGACCGTGAGACGCAATTGGAAGAGCTCTCCAAGGCTCATTACCTACCTTCGGCCCAATACTAAGCCAACGCATGGATGGTCAATGACATGTTGACATGCATTTTCAATCAGGACGGTGCGCCAACTCATCGCTCTGCCAAGGCCTAGCGGTGGTGCGAATTGAACGTGCCAGACTTTTGAAGGAAAGAGATGCTACACTCAGAGAAATATTTACCCTAAAAATCTGGGTATTTCACGAGTACCAAATCGGTACTATATTTACGGGTCCTTTAACGCCGAGAAAACGTTTATATCTACTCAGTCAGTGTTAGACTACCTAAACTGATTGTATCACATGACCTGCTTTATTGTATACATACCAGCTATTCTTAGCTATCTTTACCTAAAAAATCCGGGTTTTTCACGAGTACCAAATCGGTACTAGTTTTACGGGTTATCCTACGTCCAGAAAACGAGTATCAATACCCTTCATTGTTTCGCATGAACTATTATTACGTACAAATACCAGTGTTTCTAGGGTATTTCTAGCCTCAAAATCCGGGTATTTTTGGAGTACCAAATCGGTACTACATTTACGGGTTATCCTACGCCGAGAAAACAGGTAGCTCAACCTTTTGGCGTCAAAATACCGAATTTATTTGTGTCACACGACATTCTCACTCGTATACGTACCGAATTTGTTTGTGTCACATAACCTGCTCACACGTATACGTACCAGTGATTCTTTGGTATTGTTACCTTAAAAGCCTTAAACTTATCCGAAAGTTATAAGGCACTTAAACACCATGATTTATTTGTGCTGCACTTGTCGCAGTTTGCTATAAAAAAAGATCAAAACAATGATATGTAAAACGGAGTTCGCTTGTTTATTGGGTTCCAACGAGATGAACAGAACCGGATGAAGATCATCGATTTAATCAGGAAACATGTCATGACAAACAAATAATCAGATTTTTCGCACGATATGGACGCAGTCCCTTCTCGCCTACGGCTGTCGTCAGCTGGCGATCAACCGACCGGTGAGCATTGCCCCGTCCCGTAACGCAAGGTCTATACTCCCATTCGTACCTGTAACACCGCGTACGACACTCCACTTCTATGGCGCAATGCGCGATATCTGACGGCCCTGGCAGTTAGCTTGTTCGGTCGTTGATCCCCATTTGTCGGCCGGTTCAGGTTGTCCTGACGCTGGCCGACACTCGGCGTTGCAGTCATCCAGGATCTGGCCTGGCCTCTGGATCCCAGTGCTGCTCCTTGACCGCGTTTCTAGACATCCCAGTGCTGTTTCTTGTTGACTTGAAGGCTTGGTGCCCTTGCACAACACGATCCACCACCACACTCGACCGGGAAAGAAAGTCACGTAGCTCACTTCCACAATAAAACGCGTGAAACGCGAATAGCACTCGCCGTGCGGCTCCCAGCCTCTACACACACCCATCACGCCGGCAACGGCGGTTCAAACTGGCTCATACTGAAAGCGTGCGCGCCAAACATCAAAACGCGGAACGATGATTGGTGGAGAGGAACACCCTTCTGCGCATGCGCGACTTAGGCCACGCCCCTTGTTAAAATTACTCACAAAAGGTAAATCTACCTCAAAAAAATAAGGAGTAACGTAAAATTTGTCTTTGCTTTGCCTCTTGGGCCGGAATAAAATAGCCGGCAATTAACCTAACGTAAAACAAAAGATCTGGCTAATTGCCAGCAAGTAACTTCCCTTCCCCTGCTATAGCCTTGTGCTAGCGGGGATGCAAAATTCAAAAAAAAAAATCAGAAAACCGCATTAAAGTACTTATACACCCTTACGAGTTAACGCATGTTACAGGTACCTGTTTTTCAATAACAAGTAGTAGAAAAACATGCTGGTAGAGTAGCCCTACACGACCGATTCTGATTTGTTAGGTAGAGTTACCCCCTCTTCTGGGTAATGGTACCCGAATCTGCATGGTACTGTAAACCCATACCAGGTACATTTGCTATAATGTGTGTAAAAAGAACCATAGGTGTACAGGGCAGTGGCGGATCCAGGATTTTCACTGGGGAGGGGCTGCAGGTCATAATTGGGCGCCACGCCCCGGATGGGCGCCATAGTCGCATCGTGGATCTTTTTTGTTAGTTGCGTAGGGTTGCGTCAGTTGGAGTCGGCAGTTTTGATCGGAGTCTGAGTTGGAGTCGGTTCATTGGCATCCCTCGACTCCGATACCGGCTCGGAGTCAGAGTCTGTTAAAATTATCTCTACCTACCTCCCTTTTTATTTAAAGGTAAACAACCAACGTTTGGATACAAAACAAGTTTCACCGAAGTTTCCAGGCCTATCTCTCGACTCTCGTCGATGACGATTTTAGGAACCACTCTTTCCCATGATCCATCGGTGGATGGTAGCCAGAGAAACGTGGACGAGCGGCGACTGAAAACGTATTGGGTAGTTTGTGACAGAGATCCCAACCGCAGCAGATATTTTTTTACATGCCCTGTGACACGAAATCCAGCCATGAATAAGCACGAGTTCAGAAGAGTATGTTATTATGTACCAAGTGGGAGGTAAATGTTAGACGGAATCCCTAGGTGTATTGCAAAATAATTGCATAACTTAATGAATATTATATTTTGCCGCATTTCGGCCCAGTGGCCCTGACAAGAGGCGCCCAGGATCAGTATGTACAGTGACACCACACGATTGGAAATATCGGTGCGGAGCGTACTGAAACGACGTTATTCGACTGATTTTTGCATCCTAGTCCTAGTATGCGGCACTCCGATGAGTTGCGAATTGAAAATTGGCGCCACTGCGCCTTCGGCGCAGTGGCGCCAGTTTTCCTTGGGTGGGGGCTGCCAGCCCCCGCAGCCCCCCCCTGGATCCGCCACTGGTACAGGGACCCAAAATAAATGGTGTATAATTATTTATGTACGGGTTTTAATATCCGGATAAATCGGGGTACCGGTACTCATAAGTGTAAAATTACCAGATGTTGCCGAAGCGTCATTATTCTTGTCCTCAGGTTAATAGATCTCTAAAAAGTTAATTGTTTTCAAAACGGGCTTCGCTGAGGAAAACTAAATATTATAACCAAATATTTCG